ACCACTGTTATTGGTTGCAAGTGGGCATTGAACTCCGTTTGTCAGGTTCACGGGACAGTGCGCTCACTACTGTGCCATCGGTCCCCGTAAGGTAATTCCCCAACAACAACAGCCACTGCTTACGACTAAGTGGTGATGATGTCACCACGGTGCCTGCACCATGAAAGGCATACTTTGAGGCCCTGTATAGTGTTGAAGGCTCACTGGCAGGTCACGGAACAGATCCAGTTGCCATGAGTTGACTGAGATGACTGACAAATGCACTACCTGTGCCCCTTACTGCCCCAACTTGCTGCACTGTGCACGCGGTTGTAAGCATCGCTCCTCTGCCCTCCGTTGTTGGTGGAGGCTGACTGCCTCCAACTCCCCAGCAGCATCCTTTACGAATCTCGTCCACAGAGGCCGATCTTGACACCGTGTGGTTCCACCGCAGCAGAGCAGCTCGGCCAGCTCTACCCTCTTCTTGCACCCCCTGCCCCCCCCCCCCCCATGAATGCACGCCCCACTAAACACTCACATGCACCCCCGTAGGGTCTCGAGGAGGGGTCACCTGGTACGATGGGTTTTCATCCGAGGACCCCATTAACAGAGACGTCCACGGTTTCCCTGGACCAGGAAATTGGCTGAGCCCCCCAGACCGGATTACATGGTGCCCCCCCAAAAAAGGGGGGCATAGAGCTTTACAGGCCGGCCGCGATGAAGCATACACAACACGGGGGGATGGGACCTCAAGGCCAGCACCCAGCGGCAGTGTGAACAGTGGGGTGGGAGGGAAAAGCCCCTAGGCATATAAGAGTTAATTTAAGTTGGAGGAAGCGAGGGGATTATCGGTGAGTCAACGGCGAGGAACGCAGGTACAGAGACAATGGGAAGGGGGGGGGGATGACGCGACCCCCCCCCCCCCCCCAACGGCCAGAGCGCTCAAAACGGCCGAAAAGAGGATTCGATTGGATGCGCAGAATGACGTCACATGACCCGGGGGTTAACAGGCTTTGGGAACATAAGGGGGGAAGGAGGGCAAATTGGATCAGAGTTCTTCTGGAGTGGCGGAGAATACCAGCCGCCCTCAGCATCCGTGGGACGCCTGCAGGGTGCAGCTGAAAACGATTGCCCAGGCAAAGTCTCCGAGGCGGGCATCTTCCCCAACCTCCATCATGCAGCTGGAAAGGTGAGTCAGTACGGGGGGGGGGGGGGGGGGGGGGCAATTCAGCCCAGCTCGCAGTCAGCTCGAGCGTGAAGGATAGACGCTCTTTGCGATGGCTAGGTGATAGGAGGTTAGGCGCTGTCCGAAGGGTGCTGGCTGAAGGGGGCCATAAACCGAGGTTCCCTATTCGCTCCGGGAAATAAATCTTAGCACAGACTGACGTTTGACGCGTGGTGAATGCGTGCGTATGAAGAGCGGTGGGACAGCGATCGGCGTACGACAGTGTGTGGGTGACTATAAATCAGTGTGGGTGTGACACGCGCGCATATTAAAATATCAACGGTTGCCCGCGCCAGCGCGTGTATATGCGCGCACCGCAATATTAACGGTGAGACACGCGCGAGTGTTGCGCGGAGAAAGTGCCTGGGTGGGGGGGCCGCGCGAGCGCCGATTAATTTATTAATATTCGGACCGCGCGGGAGCGTTCGCCTTGTTGACACAACGGCTTAGTGGAAATTATTAATTAAGCCCCACACAGCGGCGAGTCAAACAATTACATAATCCACGCGGTTAGGACGCATCAGTGGGGGGAAGGGCACGCGCGCAATCAACCCCTAGTCGGTGTCGGCCAGCTGATAGCTATGTCGGTCAGAGAGGACGTTGGTGAGGGGGGGGGGCGGTCACCCGATCGATGGGGCAGGGGGCACGAGCGACACAAACGCGGAGGGGACGGGGGGGGGAGGCAAACGCCACACCCCCCCCCCCACGCGAGGAGGGGGGGGGGCGTTTGGTAGCATTAGCCCCCACAACCGCTGATACCAGTCATCAGCAAGTCCAATCTACTCCACATCCTTCTGTACCACATCAGTCCATCTCTTATCTGGCCTGTGCCATGCCCGTATGGCCACCCCCTCTATCTGACTAACAAGAAACTGCTTGGGAATGCGGTGGTTGGGCATGCAGGCTACATGACCCCACTCAAGTCATCCCCTACTCACACACATTCACAAAGACAAAGATCCAGTGTAGAAATTGGCTCAGTGCTGGCTGGCCATGTTTACAAATGACGAAAGTGTCATCCACACATCTCTTCCGAAGGGAAGGACGTAGGGTGGAGTCTGGATGGCATCTGTTTCAAATTCCTCCATGAAAACATTCGCTATCACTAGTGATAAGAGGGAACCCATAAGGGTACCTTCATTTTTTTTGTATAAAGTACCATTCCAGATTAAGTAAGTGTTGGTAAGGCAGTGCCTAACCAGGGTATGAACATCAGGGTTCAGTACATTTTGGACTAAATCTTCAATTATTGCTAAGGTGTCAGGCACAGGTACCTTGGTGAACAAAGAAACAACATCAGAGCTGACGAGAAAATTATCTGGGGACAGTGAAATGCCCTTGATTAGAGAGACCAAGTTCATAGTTTCATTTATTTGGTATAGCCCTGTGAGCCATACGGCTCTTGAATCGGGTGCAACCGCAACAAACAAAAAAACAAAAACATGAACAAGAAAACATCTTACAGTGACTTTGTGCATGTGCAAACAGAAAATCCAGGAAAAAAACATCAAAATATTCCTGAAATAGCACCGTACACCAACGCTGTGTGCAAAAATCCCAGTGGGATGCAAGTCAAACAACAACAACAAGAAAACTAAGATTAAGGCCATCAGTCTAACTCCATACTACAATAAACAAAAACACGGCCAAACCAAAAAACTTTTAGAAATCACCAAAATAAAGCCATAAATCCAATGTAACAGTGATCATAGGAACTGTGACCGAATTTTTAACAATAAACTACATAAATAACATGTAACACCAAACCCTAGAGCCACAGCTGGCTGCATGAGTCACTCCACAAACAACAGGAGCATCAGTCGGAGTACCACATTTTTCAATGCACCTTTAAGATCAGCACACTAAATCAAAATACAGATAATACTTTACAGCGGTCATCCGGAGCGAAACATTTTATTTTATTTTAGGCCATTGAATACCAGTGGCAGCAAGGGGTGTACAACTCCTCTAGAGCAGTTTTGAGTGAAGATCTCATAGGTAGTGATTCAAGTTGCAGTTTATTGGCAATAGCATTCCAGACCCTGGGGGCATCAATAGCAAAGGCCCTTCCTCCGGTTTTTGTACGGCAATAGGGAATGTGAAGCTGGTAGATGAGCGAAGACGTTAGGTCAAATTTTTTATTTGAAACAGAGAGGAGATCCAGCAGGTAGTCTGCAGATTTTTTTGTAAGTACATCGTGAATAAATAAGATCTGGTGTACAAGCCGTCGAACATTAAGAGATGTTAAGTTTGACCCAATGTAGAGATCACAGTGGTGAGTGCTATATGGGCAGTTCAATGCAAATCTAAAGGCCGAGTGATAGATAGAATCAAGCTTCTTCAGTACAGTACTTGGGGCTGATTTATACACGATATCACAGTAATCAAGTAGAGGCAGTATGGTAGCTTTTATAAATTCCAAACGGAACATAGGGGGGAAGCAGTGCTTGTGTCGATACAATTTTTTTTTGTCTTTTTACCAATATAATCAATGTGATCTTCAAAATTCAGTTTTGAATCCAGGATGACCCCAAGATACTTATAGAACTTGACTTGCTCTATTTGATCATTATTTAAGGAATGTAATTTGGGAAAAATAACTTCCTGCTTTAGTCCCGGTGAGAAGCATAGCGCCTTGGTTTTGGAGGTATTCAAGACTAGTTTAAGAGCAACTAGCTGATGTTGTAGTTTGTTGAAATCACCCTGGAGCTTAGCAATCACGTCATCCGGAGAGCGGCCAGCAGTAATCAGTATAGTGTCATCTGCAAAAAGATTTACCCTGGAATGATCCAGGTCAGTGCCCAAGTCATTGACATAAAGAGAGAACAAGAGGGGGCCGAGGATGGAACCCTGTGGAACCCCTTTTGTTATCTTAACACTGTTTGACCTCCAACCATCTGTGAATACAGTTTGGGTGCGAGAAAAGAGGTAATTTTTTAACCATTTTACTGTGTTTTTGGAAAAAGCGAGGCAACTTAGTTTACCAAGCAGGGTGTTGTGGTCTACTGTATCAAAAGTGAGCTGAGTTATGTACTGCTGAGGTATACACAAACACCCTTTAACAAGAACGACCGCCATTCGCCACTAAGTGGTGCAGACGTCACCACGGCGCTGCCAGGCTACATGCACGTTAAGGCCACGTGAAATGTAGGCAGGTCACGGGGCAGACTCAGATGACATGGGTCGACTGAGATGACTGGCCGATGCACCACCTGTGCCACCTACTGTGCCAACAGTGTACACACACAGAGTGTACACACACACAATAATGTTCATGTTTAATAATAGGGGTTTTCCCTTTTTTTCTGGCAACAAAACTGAAACCTTTTTACAATGAATCATGTGTGCATTAACCACAATACTTGTGGTCAAAATGCAAACAAAAAAACATACTCTGATAATATATGCATTGTCCTTGAAACTGATTGGTCCACACCAGAGACATCTTTCTTTTGAGCATCGTCTCTGGTGTGGACTAATCCGTTTCAAGGACAATGCATATATTATCAGTGTGTTTTTTGTCTGCATTTTGACTACAAGTATTGTGGTTAATGCACACATGATTCCTTGTAAAAAAGTTTCAGTTTTGTTGACAGAAAAAAGGAGAAAACCCCTATTGTTATGCTTTGGTACTGGCAAAGGAGGTCTAATGTTGTTAATGTTCACGTTGTTGTCGTTGAGCTAACGCACCCAAGGGGTCAATGTTCAACAGAGGGAGCAATGGAATAGGAATCTTAATAAACATAAACTCGAACCTCGTTCGATGACGTCACCACTTCATTACCTCATCAGAGAGACGCGAGGGGGAGGTGTACCCCGCTAGTGGCGTCATGTCACCTCGTGCTGCCGCGTGACGTCACGAAATACCAGGAAGCCGCAGATCCGCGCGCGCTCACTGAGATCCGAGGTGAGAAGTTCACATCGTGGTGGTTATTGTTGTTGTTTACCCAGGTCGAGCCTCGCTCCTCTCTCTATCTTGTAGGGATATCAATTGAGTAGCAGCGAGTATGGAATCAATGTCCAGGTTGGAACATTAAAACGCCATGCGGGGCCTTGCCTCCTGCCCTCGCCTGATTGCATTTGCTTTAATTCTCTGCTTTAATTGAATGTCTTCACCTAGCTCACTACTTTTAAACTTTTTCTTTTAAATATTTCTACAGTTTTTTTTATTTTACCAGGCGAAGCCCACTTGAGCTATACCGCTCTTTTTCAGACGCGACCTGCTCACAACAAAGTGGCTTATCAACGTGTGGAAATGTATATCGGTCAAATACTCTAAACGCGTGGTGATGTTGACTCTAAATGTGGAGGGAAAAACCGGAGGATCCGGTAGTAATTCCACGCGACCACGGGCAGAGAGACGCGCAAACTCCAAATATACATCCGTAATACAGGTTTGTTTGGGTTAGATCGCGTCAATATATAAAGGTGTCATTAAAACCCGCCACCACCCGCCAGCCAACTAGTAAGGGTTGTCACTTAAACAGAACGTGGTCAATTCGTCACTAGTACAGCACACCGGTTGTGTGTTGGCGGGGTAATAAATTGTAGCCATAATCACCGTGCCAGAAAATCAGTAGATATTGAAGAGCATCATAGGATCGGTGTGTTTCATTTCTGTGTAGGGTATTGGTCCTCAGTTGCAAGGCGATGCCTTGAGTGACATGTTGTTCAGTAAAGGTTGAACACGAAATTTAACACTCTTCTGAAATTCGTGGTCCGCCAGGAAGTGTCTAACTGTGTTGTTGGCCTGACTGGATGTGCTTCACATAATGTTTTTTCAGGTTTGTTGAATTCTCGTCTATCATCTTTTTGTTGTATTTACCTCCGTGATTTGTTCTTGACACCTGATGAAGATCGCTTGCGTTGTGATCGAAACGTCGTGGTTGTTTTTTGTTTTAATATAATTTTATTGTATTTCTACATACGTGACTTTACCGAAAAAAACAATGAGTAATTTAATGCAGTCACGAAAGCTTTAATACTTTATTATGTTGTTCAGTAGTCAGAAAGACAGCAACTTAAGATGTGAATGCATTTAAGCGGTACTCATGTTGACAATGTAAAGTTTACTCGGCATGAATGACAACATTGTATTCTGAAGTCATCTTCTCCATGGCACACTTGAAACTGTGAATATAAGAGTTAAATTTAGATTTAAAGCTTTCGTGACTGCAGTAATTCATATTCTTAGCTCTTTCGGTAAAGTCACGTTGAAGGGAAACAAAAAAATAATAATATATATAAAAAACAATAAAAATTCTCACGACGTTTCGACCATAACGCAGACGGTCATCATCAGGTGTGAAAAACCAACGGCACCTGATGATGACCGTTTGCATTATGGTCGAAACGTCGTGAGAATTTTTATTGTTTTATATATATATTTTATTATTTTATTGTTTCCCTTCAACGTGACTTTACCGAAAGAGCTAAAAATATAAATATAAGAGTTGTCCTTATGGACCATGTCTTGCCACAGCAATAGGACTTGCATCTTGGTGTTGATGACATTTTTGCGGTGCTGGTGAGCCTGTCTAGTATTGTCAGACATGCAAGTAGATCTGTGGTAATGTGGGTAGGTCATTAGCTAGTGGCAGCAGACTGCCAATGCGATTATGTACCTGGCCCTGCACTTTAAATGTGGGCATGTAGCCAGATGTCGTGATGAGTTAGTTGGTGCCAAAACATAACTTATGCTTCGGAATTGGCTTGCATAGGTAGTGTTGGCAGGTATCAATTCATGAATAGGCTCGGGATGGTCATGAATTGTACGCAGTTGAACCATGGTACAGTTGCAGCATAGCCCTGGAGGGTCTCTTTTCCATGTCATTGCATGGCAGTAGCTGCAAGAAGTAGACATGGAACCAATGGCATGAAATTATTTAGCTGTAGGTGCAGCCATCGCAGTACTGGCAGCATGCTGTCTTGCTTCTTGGTGTTAAGGAGTGTCATCAATAGGGGCAGCCATCGCAGCCCTGGCAACATGCCCTTCTTAGTGTTCAGGAGATTCATTAGCTGTAGGTGCAGCACAGGCAGCATGCTGTCTAACTTTGTGTTAAGGAGTTGCATTAGCTCTAGGTGCAGCCATTGCAGAACTTGTACGAATGGCATCAATTATTGTAATCGGCTTTGAAGAGAAACGCATGTTTTCCGCGAGGAACATTATAGGTGGAGGTTAAAGTTATTAAGCATGAAGAGTAAATAGTAAGTGTGTGAGTGAATGCTAGAGAGTGTTAAGGAAATTATAGTTGAATATGTAATCGTTGTAGGAATGTGAAGACATAGCCGCAAATGAACGAAGTGATTGTTAATAGTACTTGTTATGGTTATTAATAGTGTGTGTGTACATCTTATATATAAAATTCTCCGCGCGTTCGCGCTTGCGGGGGATTTGGCTCTTGGACGGTGGCGTTTACGACCAAAATTTTTTGCCAGGCAGCACGCCCTAAGCAACGCGGTGGGAATAGGCTATTCCGTTTTCTCATTCGTAAACTTTAAAGTGGTTTAATTAACACATTTGTGGCATTCTTTTTTTCATTATTTACTTATTGCACAACATCGACCGTACCAACTGATGACAATTGCCTTGGGGGGGCGGACCCTGCCAAGTGATGCGCCTTCGATCCAGCTCACGGGGGACATTTCATTTTACGCGTTTAACATGCAATAAATATACACTTCACGCTGCGGAGTTTTCACCACAGTCTGATGTCCTCTTCGCCCCCCCCAACACGATGTGTCCAAATTTCGATTTAAATCTTTCGTGACTGCAAGGATTCATCTTCTTTGGTTCTTTCGGTAAAGTCACGTAGAATGAGAATAAAATAATAAAATAACACAATAAAATTCTCACGACGTTTCGGCCACAACGCAAGCGGCCGTCTTCAGGTGAAAGGTACAGACCTGTCGTCGCGACAGGTCTGTACCTTTATTATTTTATTCTCATTCTATGTGACTTTACCGAAAGAACCAAAGAAGACGATGTGTCTAGTTTCTACTACAGAGTCAGTAGATAATAATATTATAGTGCTTAAATATCATTATTCTTGCACGGGTGGGGGGATGGGTGTGGGGGTAGTGGCCCAGCCCCCAGCCTGCCAACGTGCCACCTCCACTGCCTCGGCAATGTAGGCCAGGACGGGGGCGCCGCACGGGCCTAGGCCTGACCAAGCCTATGGCAAGTACAAATTTCCTTGCTTCTTACGCTAAGAACTCAGGTTCATTGTTTACTATTATTAAACAAAAAGTTGGCAAATATTACTGTCATAATGTGTGTGTGCAGAAAAGAACTAATGTTAATCATTTACTATTATGAAACTAATAAGTTGGCAGAAATTACAATAATTGTGTGCAAATAAGAACTCAGGTACATTGTTTACTATTATGAAACAAATACGTTGCCAGATATTACAATAATAATCTATGTGTGCACAAAACTACTTTTTCATTCTCTTTGGTTCTTTCGGTAAAGTCACGTAGAATGAGAATAAAATAATAAATTGATAAAATAAAATAACACAATAATATTCTCACGACGTTTCGGCCACAACACAAGCGGCCTTCATCAGGTGAAGGGACGAGACTGTCTGGTAGGACAGCGCTGGAGTGAAAAAGCCACGCTCAGATCACGACCTTTAAGCTGTGTGAGAAGAAACATAGCGCCTTGACAAAGGAATTAGCATATAATTTAGCATTGAAATGGCTGAGTGATTAGCTTGTGACTGGTCACAGAAATGGCTATGTTAAAGTTAAAGCATACACATCCGCAGAGGCACCCCTTGAAAAAGGAATTAGCATAGAATTTAGCATTGAAATAGCTAAGTTAAAGCATACACATCCGCAGAGGCACCCTTTGACAAAGGAATTAGCATAGAATTTAGCATTGAAATAGCCGAGTTATTAGCTTGTAACTGGTCACAGAAATAGCTATGTTAAACGTCAGAGCATACACATTCACCGAGGCACCTAGTACAAATCAAACAGGAGAATTTAGCATTGAAATAACTTGGCGAATTTAGCATTGAAATAACTGAGTGATTAGCTAGTGACTGGTCACAAAAATGGCTATGTTGAAGTCAAGGCCTATACATCTGAGCTATTCACAGTAACTGGGTATACAATACAATATATAATGAATACTATTCATTATAGTGAACCAATAAAAAAACTAAAATATAAATTACCTTAATGTTATCAATAAACTCTATATTCTCCAATCAGCCAAGCTACCAACAATAAGTCGTTATATATCACAATGCTATATGGCGAAAAAATGGGTGGATTCTTACCCTCAACTTTAGCAACACGGATAGCTACGGGCCCAGTTCAGACGGACGAGTTCATCCATGGTCTGAACAGAGGAGGGGGAGAGAGACAGCTGCGAGGCGCTATTATACTCCATGTTGTAAACCATACCATTAACCGTGGTGTGAGAGGTATTAAGAGTCAATGCTGGCGAAAGAGCTGCGGTCTGAAGGTCATCGTAATCCAGACTGCCACTCTACGCCCGACCTTATGGAAGAGGTACGTGGATGACACCTTTGTCATCTGGCAACATGGCCAGCCTGCTCTTGACAAATTCCGCGAGCACATCAATTCCATACACCCAGCCATCAGATTTACCATGGAGGTCGAAAAAGATGGCAAACTAGCCTTTTTGGATGTCTTAATTAAAAGGAGACATGATGGTTCAATAAGCCTCTAAATAACTGAGTGATTAGCTAGTGACTGGTCACAGAAATGGCTATGTTGAAGTCAAGGCCTACACATCTGAGCTATTCACAGTAACTGGGTATACAATACAATATATAATGAATACTATATAGTGAACCAATAAAAAAACTAAAATATAAATTACCTTAATTTTATCAATAAACTCTATATTCTCCAATCAGCTAAGCTACC